CTTTCCCTCCCCCAGTCCAGCCCTACAGTTCACTAAGTAACAGATTAGCCAACTTCCACTTAGAGAAAAGCACTAACTGGCAGTTGTGTTGGTGGCTGAGACTGTGCAGTGAGGACAGCAGTGCAATTAGCATGCAGCAAACATTTCACTTCTCTCAGGTGAATGGCTTTTCCACCTGTAACCAGGGACCTACTTAAATCATGGTTTTGCCAGCATAAATCGCAATTGTTGTGAAAAATGGCATTGGCTGTGATTTCCCAGGAAATCCAAAAAAAAAATTAATAAAAGTAAAACGCTGCCTCCACGGTGGGAACTAGCAGTTCTTGCTGCCACTGTGGCCCAGCCTCGCAGCCCCCGCAAGAGGGGAAGGTGCCAGCTAGCAGGGCAGCACAAAGGGCAGCCGCCAAGATGGTGGCTGCCCTTTTCATAGATTCATAGATGTTAGGGTCGGAAGGGACCTCAATAGATCATCGAGTCCGACCCCCTGCCTCTGGCAGGAAAGAGGGCTGGGTCTAGATGACCCCAGCTAGATACTCATCTAACCTCCTCTTGAAGACCCCCAGGGTAGGGGAGAGCACCACCTCCCTTGGGAGCCCGTTCCAGACCCTGGCCACTCTAACTGTGAAGAAGTTCTTCCTAATGTCCAATCTAAATCTGCTCTCGGCTAGCTTGTGGCCATTATTTCTTGTAACCCCTGGGGGCGCCTTGGTGAATAAAACCTCCCCAATTCCCTTCTGTGCCCCCGTGATGAACTTATAGGCAGCCACAAGCTCGCCTCTCATCCTTCTCTTGCGGAGGCTGAAAAGGTCCCGTTTCTCTAGTCTCTCCTCGTAGGGCTTGGCCTGCAAGCCCTTAACCATACGAGTGGCCCTTCTCTGAACCCTCTCCAGGTTATCTGCATCCCTCTTGAAGTGCGGCGCCCAGAATTGCACGCAGTACTCCAACTGCGGTCTGACCAGCGCCCGATAGAGGGGAAGTATCGCCTCCTTGGATCTATTCGTCATGCATCTGCTGATGCACGATAAAGTCCCATTGGCTTTTCTGATGGCTTCGTCACACTGCCGACTCATGTTCATCTTGGAGTCCACTAGGACTCCAAGATCCCTTTCCACTTCCGTGCCACCCAGCAGGTCATTCCCTAGGCTGTAGGTGTGCTAGACATTTTTCCTCCTTAGGTGAAGCATTTTGCATTTCTCCTTGTTGAACTGCATTCTGTTGTTTTCTGCCCACTTGTCCAACCTGTCCAGGTCTGCTTGCAGCTGTTCCCTGCCCTCCGGTGTGTCCACTTCTCCCCACAGTTTTGTGTCATCCGCAAACTTGGACAG